TGGTGAGCTTCAACCGCCAACCTTGCAGTTAAAACAGCTTTGCAGTCTGGCACATTAATCCACAGCACCACACCAAGACTCCGAAGTACAGTAGTACTTAGTGCTATATCTGTGGATATGCAGATAAGGCATAGTGTCCTTCATGTTCTTTGGTCTTCATTTTTAAATATCAAACTCCATACAGTGAGATAATTTGCCCAAATCACTCAACTTTTATAAACTGTCTAATTAGGAGTAATAATGCTTAATAACAACATTAGTAAAGTAATGGAAAATTATAAGACAAAATTGGTTAATGAATGACTTTATACATTTGTTGCTATTTATTATAGGATAAACGTCTTGTACCTGGAGGTGGAGCAACAGAAATTGAGTTGGCCAAACAGATTACATCATATGGAGAGGTATAGCATGCTCTTTAATAGTTGGCTTTTTCCCATTGTTTGAATAAACTATAATAATACATTTTTGTTTTAGACATGTCCTGGGCTTGAACAGTATGCCATTAAGAAGTTTGCTGAAGCATTTGAAGCTATTCCCCGGGCACTGGCAGAAAATTCGGGTGTTAAAGCTAATGAAGTCATCTCTAAACTGTATGCAGTACATCAAGAAGGAAACAAAAATGTTGGATTGGATATTGAGGTATTTGGGATGGGGGGGTAGGACTATGTATTATTTTGTTAGGACACATCCCAGAAATACAGCCAGTAAGCTAAACTAAAAAGAACAATCTGTGAGAAAAGTGTCCGACTTGTAAGAAAATCATTTTCTTAGCAGTTAATACTCACATAGTCTGAATGTTTCTTTTTGAGTTCCTTTTGTGTTAGTGTGTAGGTATAGTATTGATGTCTGGTTACTTTTCTGGACATTTTCAGGAGCCATACATTTTATATAAAACCCAATATAAATAAATGAGTATAAATACGAAGATTGTTTTTGTGTTGACAGGCTGAAGTCCCTGCAGTAAAGGACATGTTGGAAGCTGGTATTCTTGATACTTACCTGGGGAAATACTGGGCTATCAAACTGGCTACCAATGCTGCTGTCACTGTACTTAGAGTGGATCAGGTGAGTGAAAAATCAAATTCTGATTCTTAAAAATGATAATTTTCAGACGATTTTTATATTTTCATGAGACTAGAACATGGCAGAGTTCTAATTCCACTTAAACGAGTATTTCTTTACAACTTATGTGTCTTTGATACTCATAGCCACCCTGTATAGGATTGCCTGGGTATAACTGGATTTGGACTGCTGACCTTGTGTTTAGCAATCCAGTGCCTTATCCTCCTGCGCTTCACCAGGACTCCCCTTTACATTCAAGAGTTGTTAGTGTCACACAAAAGCCCCTAAATTTAAAATGAAAATCTTTCTGATGGTGGAAACCTTGTGATACATTTAATTGGAATGGAAAGAACAAATCTGATCTTGGCCCATCATTTTCCAACTTATTTTTATCCTTAGCACCCTTTAAATACATAATCAAGAAGTAGTTTAATATGTAATACTAGTAGGGAATATGTTGACTAGAGGAAAACGTAACCTGTAGTTGGTTATTTGTGGTACAGATATTGGCATCTAAGCACAGGACTGCTAACTGCAAGGTTATTGGTTCAAACCCACCAACCCCTCCTTGGAAACCCTATACAAGGTCACTATGAGTCTGAACCAACTCAACAGCACTTAACCACCACCACAACCTGACAGATTATGACTTGAGGTATTAGAGTGTCTTTTTGTTACTGTTCAGTGCCATCGAGTTGGTTCCAACTCTTAATGACCCTGTGTATGGTTTCTGAGAAGCAGCTGGTGAATTTAAATGACCGACCTTGTAGTTCAAACAAGCAAATCCTTGCATTTTTACCCTTTTTGGGAGTAGGAGAGCAAATGTGGCAAAGGGGGGCTACTCGCTGATAATTTTAACTGTTTCTTCAGAATAGAAAACTTGTTATTCAGTTTTACATTAAAAAAGGAGGGGATAAGGTTTTCAAGGAGAAAAGGTTTTGTGTTTATAAGTTAACAGTGGCTCTCAGATGAGCACTGGACTGTGAACCACAAGGCTGACAGTTCAAACCCACCAGCCATTCTCTGGATAAAGATGAGAGTGTTCTTGTAATCTCGGAAACTCTGTAGGATTACTGGGTCAGAACTAACTCCAAATGGGACCACAGAATTGAAGGGAACAAGAGAAGCTTAAGTAATTAACACATGAGGTGAACAGAAATCCTGATAAGGGAAGTTCTTTAACTGGGAAGCTTTTGAATGTCAGCTACTCATAACCTTTGATGGCACAGAGCCCATCTAAATTTCAACTTACAGTGGTAAATTTTATAAAAGGGGAATCTTATTACATCCCCTGATCTTTGCATTGTATACATTTCTTCCAGAGATAGGACAATTTTGAGGACTTAGTAGGAAGCAGCTTTATCATGTAAATCAAAGAACAGAAATCTTCAGGCAAGGGTTAGCTGGAAACACTGCCTTCAGAAGAATATAGAACATAGATGTAATCAAGGATATGTCAATCAAGCTTCACGTCTTGATAAGTTTAATGAAAGTTTCTGATGTTTTTATTTCTCTTCATATAATCAGTGTTAGGATAAATTATATGAGGAAGCCCAATTAATTTAGCTTCTGCCAAATTTACAAGCCCAAAGCTGCCACAACTTTTTAAAAAGATGTAAATTTTTTCATGCTTCTTGTTAAAGTGCCATTGAAGTCAGTTCCCACCTATAGTGACCCTGTCTGTATAGGGCTTCCGAGGAGCAGCTGGTGAGCTTGAACTGCTGACCTTGCAGTTCAAATGGCTTTGTAGTCTGGCGCATTAACCCACAGCACCACACCAGGACTCCAAATTTTTTCATGCTAGATAGTTTAATTTAAATCTAGGTTAGCACATTTTAAATAAACCACACCAGAGAACACTAGAAGCTTGGATTTTCATGAACGTTTCTACCACTTGAAGGTTTCTCACTTGCAGATAATAGAAAATTTCAGGGAGACCTAAAGTGCCTAACACACACAGAAAATGGTATAAAGATGATTAGTGGTTACAAACCGGGCTGCGAACCACAAGGTCAGCAGTTCAAAACTACCAGCTGTTCCGCGGGAGAAAGATGAGGCTTTCTGCTCCCATAAAGATTTACAGCCTCAGAAACCCTGTACAGGGTTGCTATGAGTCGGAACCAACTCCACAGTACATAATAACAACACCTCATATATAAATAGTAAATCAGGTGTCAAATTTTTCTGGAAGTGATGCTGCGAACATGTTTCACTCAGCTTATTTTATTGAAAGTACTTTTCGTAGAATGCCATTCAACTAATGTGTTTGTTATTGTCCAGAAAAGCAGAAAATGCAGCATTGCTATAAAAGATTGAGTAGTAGTTATGAATTGGGCTGCTAACCTCAGGGTCATCAGTTTGAAACTACCAGCTATTCTGCGGGAGAAAGATGAGGCTTTCTGCTCCCATAAAGATTTACAGCCTCAGAAACCCTATACAGGGTTGCTGTGAGTCGGAACCAACTCCATGGCACATAACAATAAAAGTTTGAAATGATTGTGTTTATTCTTGAAACAGGTTGATAAGTATTTGTATGATCTCTTCTTTTTTAAAGGTTGAGTTTATAACTATTTGTTTGGTTGTGTAGATTATCATGGCGAAACCAGCTGGTGGGCCAAAGCCTCCAAGTGGGAAGAAAGACTGGGATGATGACCAAAATGATTGAGTAGTGTAATTCTACTGTGTTAAGTTTGTAGTAAGTAATATTCTAGCAATTGTTCATTGTTTTCTTATTCTCCTTAAGTTAAAAAATGTTTTGTTTATATGCTAAGCTGAATGATGCAATAAACTTGTTACTGTCAAAAGCCTCACTGCCTACTGACCACTATTATTGGACCCAAATAAAAATATCATAAATATTTTTCATTTAAGTGCTTAGTGTGATCCAAGGACAGCTTGAGAGCATGTCTAGCCCTTAATGACAAAAGTTTGCCAAGCCCCAGATTAAATTTCTTGACATTTTTCTTACAGCTGTGGAACTATTAAGATTCTTAGGGGACTTGTTAAAATAGCAATAACTGATTTGTTAAATGGTAGACTTACATATAGTCTACCAGCAGTTTGGGAGTAAGGGAAAGTTAAGTGATTGATAAGACAGTAACAAAAGACATGACATAACTGAAAATATATTTCCTAACATGTAAAATTTATGCACAAGAGTATTTATAAAGCAGAGCTTGTTTTTTTTTTCCTTATGATCAATAAGGATTGTTGAAAGGCAAAGACAACAGTAAATAGTTAAAATTATACTGATTTTATAAAAGGATTTACCTTGAGTAACATTGAAAATTTGTTTTTAACTCATGATATTTGAGATAAATAAAGTATCTTGGGATAATTAAGTTATTAAGTAAACTAGTTTGCATTATATGATAAGCACTGGACTGGTAATCATAAGGCTGGTAGTTCAAACCCACCAAATGCCCTTTGGAAACCACATCACATATAGGGTCACTAAGAGAACCAATCTACAGCACTTTCTCAAGACTATCATAACAAAAGTTAATGAATATAGCAAGGAAATCCTAATAATTACAGAATCTTACAGGAAGCATAGACATGCTTGATGTACTTAGGGCTCTGAGTTGCATGTGACTGAAACAGGCTGATCTGAATGAAAATGAAATTTATTGGCAGAAGGGTACATGGACTTCTCTGGCATACTGGTATTGAGATCCCTAGTCTCCAGTCAACTTACAGTCTTAGGAGTCTTGGGATTTTCTACTTTGGCTCAGTGCCACTGCATAGGTCAAGTGCAGAGCTGGTCCTGTGCTTAGTTTATGCACACTGCATGGCAGAAAAACTAGATACATGTGTTTCTCCCAATTACGTGCATTAAATACATGTAACACATTTGTACTGAATTTCATTCAATAGTTAACCTGGTAGTAGGGTATGTCTATACAACTTAAAATCTAAGAAATAAAACAGGCTTCTAGGATAAGTCAGTTTTATTAATGTGTTTTGACCCATCATCCATATATTAAACACAAGAGAGCTTAAGTAATTCAGAATTTCTGAAACTGGAAATGGGTAAAAACAACTAATAACAATAAGAAAACCACTGTAAATTTTTGGGTATTTTCCCTTTAATGTTTTAGTAAACATGATTTCTCTGGCATGTACTTAGTTTTAAGTGACTTAGAGTTACTCTTAGTTTTTTATTATTACAGCATTATAAAAGCCATAAACATGTTTTGTTTCTGAAGAAAGTACTTTTTGAAATTGTTACAGTATTCTCTCATAAAATAGGAGGTATGCTTGTGAGTTCAGTACTTTAGCTGTAGGCACAACTTGCACATGTGTATCGCTGATGTGAAACCATTGCCCTTTAGTTGATTCCATTTCAAAATCTGTCAAGAAGAAATATGAATTAAATACAAATGAAAAGATTAAAATCTTATTTTATCTGAATTTTCCATGTCATCCTACCTTGTGGAATATCACCATGAAGAACAAGATTAGAGAGATGGGTGTTTGCAGTTCTTGCCTTAGCATAGGCAGTATAATGTCCAGACCTCATAGTGCCACTGTGTTCAACAACTCCATATAAGGAATATAGGACCCTTGTATTTTCTTCAGCCACATTCTTTAAAAATGAATAGAATTCAAAAAAGTTAATTCTAATCCCAATCACACAGATCTCACTGGTGAGACTATTTTAAACGGTTTACTTAAGCATAAAAGAAATAATCAGTATTTTTTCCCTACCACTTCCTAGCCTACTCACTAGTACCTCACTTAAGTTTTTATTAGAAGTTACTACTACCCTATTGGAAGAACCCTGAGGCCACTTGTAATCCCTATTTCCTGATTGAGATAACTTTTGTTATTGTCCGTGTCCTTGAGTCAGTTCTAACTCAAAGACCGTATGCATACCAGAATTAAAAACTGCCCTGTCCTGTGCCAGCCTCACAATTTGGTTATGTTTGAGTTCACTGTTGATGCCACAGTGTCAAGCCACATTTTTAGTGATCTTTTTACTGACCATTTTACCAAGCATGATGTCCTCCAGGGACTGGGCCCTTCTGATAATATGCCCAGAGATGAAGTCTTGTCATCCTTGTACCCAAGAAAGCACTCTGGCTGTACTACTTCCAAGGCAGATCTGTTTGTTCTTCTGGAAGTCCCATGGTATTTTCAATATTCTTCACCAACACCAAAATTCAAATGACTTGATTCTTCTCTGGTATTAATTTACTGTCGAACCTTCACATGCATATGAGGTGATTAAAAATACATGCCTTGTCAGGTGGACCTTAGTCCTCAAACTGACATCTTTGTTCTTGAACACTTAGAGGTCTTGTGCAGCAGATTTGCCTAAAGCAAATTATAGCAACTTGGGATCTGAAAATTCATAAATCCCTCAACATCCCTATCTATCATCCCGGTCCGTAGCCAAAATATAAAGCCTTAGATAGGAAGAAGTTGTGTTTAGGTTGTACCAAAAAGCACTTCTTTCGCTTTAAAATGCTCCCTAAAACGTTGGTGAGAAGCACACTAAACCTCTCAAGTATTCACTTTCCCCAACAGACATTAAGAGTGGGGACTGATAAGCATTATTTGCTCCCCAAGGCCCCTTTCAAACACTCCATTTATGTTCACTTACAAAAATCGTAAGATTTACAGCCTCAGAAACCCTGTGCAGGGTCGCTATGAGTCAGAACCGTCTCCACGGTACATCACCACCACCACCACAGAAAGCACTGCTGAAGTAGCATTCATGGCCCTTATATTGTACCATTCTCATGTACCCAAATTCACTTGATACTTTGTTGTGAAGTGCCATTAAGTAGATTCTGACTCAGGGTTTCCCTGTATAGGGTTTCCTAGAAGTGGCTGGTGAGTTCAAACCACTGATCTTGCAGTTCAGAATGAATTTGTAGTCCCAGTGGTTATCCTACAGCGCCACATTGCTGTTAGGTGCCATCAAGTCAGTACCGACTCAGCAACCCTAATGAACAACAGAACGAGACACTGCCCGGTCCTGAGCCAACCTCACAATTGTTGACATGCTTGAACCCACTGATGCTGCCACTTTGCCAATCCATCTTGCTGGGGGTCTTCCTCTTTTTCTCTGACCCTCACCTTACCAAACATGGTATCCTTCTCCAGCGACTAGTCCCTCCACATTGCCACCCCAAATTCTGTCAGCTTTAAGGATTTCAGTGCCACATAGGTGAATCTCATTGTAATTTCACTGAGCCCACCACAACAAGGATTGTATTCTGGACTTGATCATCACTCAGAACTTCAATCTCAAAACCTGTCTAGTGTCATTCTACAATCTTTCCAATTCTCAGCTCACTTATTTGTATGGTTACCTTCACAAAAACTTCCAACCCTCATTTTCTCCTGTGAAGCCTCTTCTGGTCTCCCATATAAGGTCTACACCGTGACGATTCAAAATGTCCATCGACTAGCAGCAGCTGCACTACCGGAGTTTCCTAGTAATGTAGACTCTTAGACCCAATCCAGATCTACTGCATCAGAGTTTTTATTTTACCCAGGTTCCCAGATTATTTATAAACACATTAAAGTTTGAGAAATTAGACCACATGTATTACTTTTAGAAATAAACTTATTCCCAACATCAATTTTATTTATTTACCGTACCTAGTTCCACACAAAATCCCACTTAAAATCTCTAACCCAGACAGCTGCTAGTGCAGTAAACAAAATATCACCATGCAAATTAGTAAGTTTATGATCTTCTACTTCAACAGGGTTCTCAATTAGACTACATAATTGGGTCCTTGGTTTAGCAGGTTCATCCATAGATGTCCTTCACAGCAACTGGACCAAGCTTTCACCACTTCCAGTTCTAGCTGCCACTGAGTGACCCATATGTCACAATAGATTATATATGCTCCATAGTTTTCAATGGTGGATTTTTTTGGAAGTGTATCACTAGGCCTTTTTTCTGAAGCATCTCTAGATAGATGCTTCAGAAAACCTCCAACCTGTAAGTTAGCATCCAAGAGTATTTACCATTTGTACTACCAAGGGACTCCTTGCTCTTAGCTTCTTCTCCCTCACCATGTTATTCTCTATAGCTGACCTCTCACCTCCCACTTTAGGAACACTTGCCTAACTACAAGTTGCTCATTCTCAAGAAGATAAAGCTATCCCTTCCCTCCTGTTCAAAGACGAAACTCCAGCTTACTGTCATCCTAGCCCATCTGGTCTCCCGGGTCTTGCTCAGTCAATTATCCCTCTTTTGTATACCACCAACTTATAGTTTTCCCTCTTGGCCTACAAACCTATTTAAGTCTCCTGGACATTTACAAATAAAAATAATTGATCCACCACTTTTTCCTTTTTAGCCAAACCTTTGAACATACATATTTTACCTCCAATATTCTCATCCATTTCTCAGCCCACTGAAGTTCCCAACACTGTTCTTGAAAAATTTACCATGACCTCTATATTGTCTAATCCATAAACACCTCCATGTCTTTTCTCCCTGACATTGTGATACTGAGACCACTTAGTCAGGTCCTTGAAACCTGAATACAGGGAAATGGCATTTTATGAAAAAGATGATAGTCTCATGACCTTGTATTTAAAACAAATCCAACCAAAAGTACTTCTGTTTACCAATTAAAGCTGCCCTACCCTATTGTGTAACATAAAAATAATTACAATACACTCTACCTACTAGCTAGACGAGGGAGCACAGTGCTTCCATATGATAAGCACTGGATTGTGAACCACAAGGTCCATGGTTTGAGCCCACAAGTTGCTCAGTGGGAGAAAGAAGAGGCTTTCTGCTTCCTGAAAGATTTAAAGCCTCAGAAACCCTATACAGGGCTGCTATGAGTTGAAGCTGACTTGATTGTGCTTAACAACAAACAGCTGGGGGGTTGGGGGGGGACGATTTCCATCACTTCAAATTTTGTATAGATACTTTATTAATATGTTTCTATTACAGTACTTGGAATCATTACATGTTATAACTAAACTATGACTACTCCATGCTGGTTCTCCAAACTCTTCAACACAGGAGATTCTTTGAGATACTTTGTAATATTCTCTTCTACTTATGTTTCTTACATTCAGATGCTCACCAGAATTCTGTTCTGAGCCATCCCTTCTCTCTTTCTCTCCATGTTCTGAACAAGGATCCTATTCTCTCATAATTTTAGTATTACCTATGTATTGGTTTCCATATCTTTAACTCCAACCCCAACCTCTCTTCCCTATTCCTAAAGACATGTACATCCAAATACTTTCTATACATAAAAATCACATAAATATCTAAAAGATATTAGTTTATCCAAAACTAAGCATATTATCCTTTCTCACCTCCTAACCTGCTCTTATTCCTGTATTTTCTCTCTGTTGAATGTCCCTCTCATCAGTATGGACTCTTAAGACAGGCCCCATATGTCATCTTCAACTCTTCTTTCAGTATAACCCTCAGTCTCTGCGTCACCTGCCAGAGCCAATCCACCCCAAGTCTGATGAATTTTCCCTCCCTGCATTCTCCTCCTCTGCATCCTTCTTCTTCTGACTGCCCCAGTTTAAGCACTCATCTATGAACTGAACTAACTCAGCAGCCTCCTATTTCCCTGGGATCTCTTGTTGTTCCCTCCTAAAACCCAGTCTCCATACGTAAAGCCCAAGTTCCTCCCATAAGAGCCCTCCAAAGCTTATCTCACTTCTTAGGCTTCATTTCCCAAGAGAACCTATAAATCACTCTGTTGCTGTTAAGTGCCATCAAACTGATTTTTGGTTCATAGCAACCCCATACAACATAGCAGAACTATTCCACTGAGTTTCCTAGGCTATACTCTTTACAGGAGCGAATCCTCAATTTTCCTGCAGAGATGCTGGATAGGTTCAAACCACCTAGCTTTTTCATTAGCAGCTGAACACTGTACCACAGCACTACCTGGCCTCCTTCTGAAAGCTCTAAAACTACTTCTATTTAACAGCTCCTGGCACAGGTCATGCTATTTTATAGTTATATGCCTTTGCTACTATTGTTATTTTTGCCTATACAATTCATTTCCTCTTGATTCATCACACTAACTCTTACTCCACCTTTAAGTGTTACTTGAGGTATGGTCCACATCAAGATTCTTCCCTAAACCACCAATGTGGTGGGTTTAGGTATATACCACCCTTGCTCTGTGTACATCATGTTAAATTCAAATTATCCATTTATGTTTGCTCCCCTTTAGTTTGTGTCACTTGGTTCCCAAGACAAGCCTGCCCCAATAAATAGGTTTCAAAAAATGTTTGTTCAACTGAAATAACAGCCTTATGTTCAAAATGATTCATCAAGAGCCTTGAAATTATAAAGATACAAACATCAAGACTCACTCTGCTCATCGACTTCATATTTATGTGAGCCGCTATTGGAATTTTTGCTAAGTCATGATTTGCCTTTAAGTAGATTTTAAAAGAATGTTGCAAATAAAGACCACTGTTACCTACCTTACACTTAAGGGTACAAAAAGGAGCCAAATCTAAGATTTCTGGAAATTTTATATGTTTGTTAACTTTGCGTAGGTTAAAACCAGCCTAAAAAAAAAAAAAAGACATCAAGTTGTGAAAAAGGAGTACACAGTAAGTAAATAATAGTCCCTCTTCTCCACTGCCATAAAGAATGCCAGCATCCAGCCCAAATTCAGTCTCCTAAGGAGACTTTTTTTTTTTAACTTTTTATTGTGAGGTTTACATGGGAGAACATCAGCTTTACACTCATCCTATCGTATTTTGTTTCATTGCAATGATTACAATCCCCTCCATGCATCATCAAATAACCCCAAAGGGTACAACACACAGGCCCCCTCCCCCTCCCCCAGCCACCAGCACACAGCCCTTCTCCCTTCCTGAGTCCAGTGTCCCCAACCACTCCATCTGTCCACGTCATCATGTCTGTCTCCATCCCTGGCGTCACTGCCTCCCTGGGTTGGGTCCCACTCTCCGTTCTTCTCACTCGATGGTCCCAGGGGCCCCTGTTCCTGGGTTGTAAAATCACTCACTCTCCTCCTTTTGTTAAAAAACATCTATCTCTATAATTCCTAGCCTCACAGGCAGTCCTGATAGCAATTATTCACTATTGTACCACAAGAGTCCTATCCCCATTTCCTTTTGCCAGCCCAGTCCCAATGGATTGGAAATCATTCAGTGGTGATTCTACCTTCTCCCGTCCAGTCTGGAACTAGGCTCCCTGAGACTCTTCTTCCTGAGCTGCTTTGCTATTTTACTAAGTGTATGCAGACGTACCCACACACATATTAAGAAAGGTACTCCCACAGAAGCCATGTCAGCCACCCAGAGAACGCAGGTTACACCAGATGTTTTGAGTGTTTAAAACTCAGTATAACAGATGACATTTCTGTAAAGCACACAATCGTAACCTCACTCTCTACCAAAGTTTAGTGTATTTTTAAAACAGACCCAATTAGTAGGCAGGAAAACATTCTAAAGATCCTGTAGGTAGTTTTGGAATTTGGAAATGAATTTGAAAATTACACTATTTACAGCAAAATGTTTCCAGAAAAGATAGAGAAATAAAAATGATGTAATTCTTACATCTTTTATCAAGAGTCAGGAAAATAAGATCCCAGACATAAAACAGAAAAAAACAAACATCACTAAGGTACCTAAGAACCAGTAAACTGGTTGGTTTTTTTAAAGATATTGACACTAAAGTTAAATGATACTATTACTAAAAAAGAACAACATGAATTCTAGCTAAACTGAATAAGGACTGTGTTTAAATTTCTCTTCTACTTTGATGTGGACATTTTCTTACTTGCATGTAGTTTTCACTTCCCACTATCAGCATTAAGAAATAACAAAAACTGTAACATATGGAGATGAGGTCAAACCAAAATAGAGTGTGTCCAAAGCTTAAACACATCTGAGTTATAAAAGAGCAGTTTACACTGTAATGAAGCAAAATACATGATTTGTTCATGTAAAACTGGTTATCTGCTCTGTAAACCTTCCCTCAATTCATAATAAAAAGCTGTAAAGATAGAGAGCAGTTAGACACAGGGGTGAGCACATATTGGGGAAGACAACTGCCACGTGAGGACAGCTAAGAACCTAGGAAGGCCCGGGTATACCAACAAGGAAGGAATTCACAGGGCCAAGACCTCTAGAACTGTGAGAAAATAAATTTATGTCACCCAATTGAGGCATTTCTGTTATAGCAGCACTACCCCTATGCATATTTGAGACAAATTCTAAGTAACTGAGACAAATTAAGGGGTACCTGCTGAAACCTCTTTAAATGAAGAGTGAGAACAGGAGGAACAAGAGAAATCAGCATCTGTTTTTTGGCATTGGTGTAAATGTGTTTCCTTTCACCTGAAGAAATAAAGACAGTTTTAGCAATAGGATACTCATATGAGACTTCTAAAACATTTGAATATGCTATAAAGCTATTTCAGACCTCCAAATCAAGAATCACCACACTTTTTCCCTGTAAAGGGCCAAATATTAAAAAGAGGGAAAAGTTTCCATAAATTTTTATGAAATTCAAAATAAAATAATAATTTAATATGATTTTTGTAATAGAGGTTTACTAATGAGAAGAGTGGAGTCCTTTTGAGGGAATAACATTTCATTTCATTGAGGTTCAAAGTTATTGTTGATGGTGGTAGTGGTGGTGTGCCACCAAGTGTATTCCAACTCATAGAAACCCCGAATAGGGTTTCTGAGGCTGTAAATCCTTATGACAGCAGAAATCCTCATCGTGCTCCTGCAAGTAGGGCTGGTGGCTTCGAACTGCTGGTCTTGAGCTTAGCAACCCAACTCGTAACCACAGTGTTCCCTATTATCAAATCAACTGCAAATGTTCATGAATGAAAACCATCTTCAGTAACAAGCAGCAGGCTGTGGACTGTGGTTTGCCAATTCCTGCTCTAAAGCACACAGAATTCCTTTAAAATAAACACAACTTACTTTTTGTATCTACAAGTACATAAATAAAAAACTAAACAAACTGAAAACAATTCAACAATTCTAGTGCAGTCCTTAAGAATCTACGTCCCTTTCCTCCCAATCCTACTACTCAAATTCAAAAATGATGGAAAAAAGACTGCAAATAGTGCTCTGTTTCAATTTGAGAAAAATTGTAAGAAAGCACTGTCTGCCTAAAGCCTTGGACAGGGCATGTCACATTAGTATACTGCTAGTGTGGCTTCCTGGGTAACAGGGAAATGAGGGCATTACAAACACTAAAGAGAACTGCTGCCCCTACGCCATGTGACAGCATTCATGTGAGATGATTTACTGACAAAGGGACAGTAAACTATTCTACTTTAACTGCTGCCACCATGTCATAAAGTACTAGCCACCTCAATATTGTTTTTGTTGTTGTTTAGTGTCATTGAGTCACTTTCGACTCATAGCAAATAGGGTTTCTGGGTGGGGAGCTCTTTTTGTTCATCCTTGTAACAAAAAAATTACAGCAGAGAGTATCTGATAGTACCCAAATACTGATAAAATCGAAGTACTTCTACACAGGTAACCCTTGTGCAGTTTAAAATTCACTCTGCATATTAATTTTACTTACAGTAAGAGAATCTAAATACCTTTTATATTTGCCTTGGTTCCACTACATTGTCTCCGTGTGCACACTTCACAAAGAAGTTTATTTGCATCTCGAAGCTTCTCATTACGGGTGAACTGATATAAACAATGCTCAATTGACCACTCGTTAGTATTGAAAGCTTCCCTATTGGCAAGAGTACAGAAAGCAGTTTCTGGATCTTCATTTACAACCTCATAGATCTTTGTCCCAGGAGTATGACTATCATTCAGAATCTCTATATTTATTTCCTCAGGCTGCAGAGCAGCATTCAAGCTAAGATTTTTAAAACCACTGGAAATGTCCACTTCTCCATCACACCCTTCCTTTTGGTAGACATCATTTAAATCCTTAGTGCATTCAGGGGGGGAAGATGCCAAAATCTCCAGATCATTATCCACGTTGACATTTTTCACATCTACTTTCTCTGTGGAATTTTGATTGTCAGTTACATTTTCTATCATTTTTTCTTGGCCATCCAAATCTTTCTGATTAACACAATTTTCCTTATCAATAACTTTCTCTTGTGAGCTATGGTTGCATTTATCATCCATTTCTTCAAGTGACATTTCAGCATCGCACTCAGTATCTTCAGGATGGTCAACTGTACACATATCATTAAAAAGAAGGACCTTCCCTTGGATTTTTTGTTGTCTTCGTTGGTTCTGTGTAAACAGTACAAAACACTTTAACTCAAGTCATAATAAAAATATTTTTTTGTTTCTTTTTTTAATAAAGCAAGCATGTACACTATATCAGGTTTTGTTGCTCATCAATAACAGATCATTTAGTAAGGAAAGTTGATGCTCAGAATTTTGATCTTACAATTCCGTTACCATCAAGGTTCAAATAAATTATAGAGGAAAGTTTTTTAACTGAAGCAAAATTAAACCATGACCAGCCATTTAAAATTGTCACATGGGGACAGGTAAAAAGGTGCAAAGCAGGTCTCCGCTCCAAGAGAAACATATAGGCCAACGACTAAAACTGGAAAGGAAGCAGCCAAGTATTAAAGCTTTTGGTGGATCTGACCACACATAATACAGTAAGAGACGAATCAATATCAGGTGTCATTACTGGCCAAGGTTGTACTGAAGAGATTAAAAAAATGAGAAAATTCAAGGATATACAATTGCAGGACTGGCCTGGGCACAAGCATAGAGAGAAAATACTCCAGAAAACAAATGACCAAAAGCTAGAAAGGAAGCAAGGAAGCCACATGTACACAGAACAATAAAGGAGGTACCTCCCTAAAATCACCTTCATTGCCACCTGCAGCCTATTTCCAAGTAGAGCCAAAAAGGCATTTCATCAAGATTCTTGTTAGAATATCTAAAGTCCCAAATGGGTTCACATTTTGTTTGCAGCTGGGAGGCTAATTTATAGTAACAGATGGCTGAATGGAACACAAACACCTTCTAAGTATTTCAGTCAAATAATGTCACACACAAGAGGGAAATGGGGGAAGGACATGCATGAACACACTACAGAAAAGGAAATACAAATGGCTCTTAAACACAAAACTATGCTTAACTTCATTTATATGAAAACAAATATAAAATAAAACTAAACTGAGATATAGTCCATGAATCAGATTAGCAAAATCCCAGAAGTGTGATACACATGACTCTCAAGTACAGAAAAAGAATGCATCAGGTATTTCTGATGGGAAGATAAATAGGTGTAAGTTTTACAGAAGACAATTTGGTAACAGCTGTCAAAATTACCAACAGAATCCCTCTTCTCAAACTTTATCCTACAGAAGACATAGGAATTGAATTATTTATTCTTGGCTTAATTGGTTACTACAGAAAAAGACTACCAACAACATAAATCAATAGAGAACTGATTAAATGAATTAAAGTAGATTCTATATAATGGAAAAGGACTTTGGCTGGTGCAAGCGGTTTACAATCAGCTACTAACCTCTTGACAGTTCAAACCCACTTAGTAACAACACAGAAAAAAGGACTGACGATCTGTTTCTATAAAGAATACACCCAAGAAAACTGTATGGAGCAGTTCTACACTCTAACACATGGGGTCATCATGATTCAGAACTGACTACATGGCAAAAAGTTTAGGGGTTTTTGGTTTATAAAACGGAATACAATGCAATGTGTTAAAAAAAAAAAAAAAAAGGAATAAGCTCTGTACTCTGATATGCTGACATGGTAAGATCTCCAAGGATCTAATTAACTAAAATAAAAAATAATATTCAGAACAACATATACAGTGAAAAGAAAACAACGAAGATGGGGAGGGAACAAGACCACTTAGAGGTATCTGCTCATATTTGGTAAGAAAAATAAGAAACTAATGAAACTGGGTACCTAGGACAAAGAATACTGGGAAAGAGAAAAGGACAGGGATGGGAGGATGACTTTTCTTGTATATCTTATACTTTTAAACTTGTGAATGTCGATGTAGTGACTATTCAATGAATTAAGTTAATAATGAACTAAACTTTTTACAACAGTTGTCACAAGCCATACAGGATTCAAAAGCAGCACCGCTTTTTCTTTGGTGGTGGTGGTTATGTGCCGTGGAGTCGGTTCCGACTCATAGCGACACTGTACAGGGTTTCTGAAGCTATAAATCTTTACGGGAGCAGAAAGCCTCATCTTTCTCCCGTGGAACAGCTGGTAGTTTCGAACTGCTGACCTTGTGGTTTGCAGCCCAATTCATAACCACTACGCTACCAGAGCTCATTTTTCTTTACAGATACTCAAATCCTCTGGAGAGAATTAAATAAGCTCACTCTGAAAATTAAGGTGCTAAATATAAAATGAACTAATAGCATCCAATTACATGCAGACTACAAACTTGGTAATTCAAAACCTAAAAGTAGAAAAGTAAGGTGTTCTTAATTACCCACCTTGGCTTGTTTTTTGGCTTGCTTCTTTGCTTTTTTCTGTAAGTGTTTACTTGTTCCTGAAGAAATATCATTTCTCTCTTTTATGTAACTGTCATTATCTTTTTCTTCCTCGCTGTCTTTATCTTCATTCTCCATTGTCTTTTTTAGATTTTTATCATTTATACTTTTCTTGCCATTCTTAAAATATAAAGAGAGTATGAATGAAAAGTAAAATTTTACAACCACTAAATTTGGAGTCCTGGTAAATGGCGCTGTGGGTTAACGCACTGGTCTGCAAAGTCAATTTGAACTACAAGGTTGGTGGTTCAAGCTCACCAGTCACTCCTTGGAAGTCCTATACAGGGTTGCTATAAGTTGGAACCGACTTGACGGCACTTAACAATAACAACAATTGAGGGAGAAGAAAATTCATGTTATCTTTATATTTTTCTGGAGTCCTGGTGTGGTGCTGTAGGGTAAATACTCAACCATAAGGCAGATTTGAACCACAAGGCCAGTGATTCAAACTCACCAATTTCTCCTTAGAAACCGTATATAGGGTCATTATGAGTAGGAACCAACTTGATGGCACTTAATAACAACAACGACAAATATATTTGCTACTCCCATTTTACACTATGAGTAAGAATCAATTTGATGGCTTGGTTTGGTATCACTTTACACTAGACTGATTTTCTAAATACTTATAAATATGTACCCAGGCAAAATCCATTTATCTCATATAATGGAAAGCAATATTCACAAACTAAGAAAAAAAGCAAAATATTTACAAACTAAAAAAAATAACAACAAAAAGGCAACTTCACATTCAAGTGTAGTAGAAAGGAATGTAATGAATTTTATTAGATACATGCTTGTTTCACACTGTATATACAAGAGGGCTTTTTAAAAAATTATGGAAACATTCCATTATCTTTTATATACCTTTTTCCATTCACTTTTTGAAGTCCCCTCAAATGTTCATTTCTTGATGTGCTTTCTGTTTATAAGTGATTTACATATCACATCAGGTCTTTTTTATTCTTTCCCTTCTTTGTACATAAATGATAGTTTTAGAGAAAGAGAAGTTTGGTGAGACTTTATTGAATAAACCATCCTATGTTCTCCTTTTTACTACTATTACTCAAAAAGAACCAAACTGATAATGATTTAAAAAGAGATGCTCTCTATTTAACATTCATGGATGCAGGACTATGAGGGAGTTGTAATCAGCCTTAAATAATTTTAAAAAGTTGAATTTTAATGTCAGGAAGGATTCTTCTCATACTTTAAAAGTAATCAAATTAATTATTTAGAGAATTCTAAACACACCAATCTTATTTTTTTTTTTTACTTTTTAATGTGAAAACTCCATTCTCAAACCCTAAAAATTTTTTTATCCTAAATAGATTAGGAAAAATTTTCCCATGGCCTGGTAATGTATAAATGTGGAAAACGCAACAAGGCTTTCTCATAAAATCTAACAAGAGGAAAAAAAACAAATACTTAAATAAAATTAACTCAATAGTCTTACCTGATCATCTAAAACTGGGAGAGACAAATCAAGGAAAGATTCATGAACCAAGGAGACCTTAACCAACCAAAAAAGAAAATGTAAAGAAAGAAAAAGATTTACTTTAGACATTATACAGTAAGATCCTCCCATCCTGAGTTTTAAAGTAAACACAGATTAAGTAAATGAAATTAAAAAATTATACAAACACTGAGAATGTCGGGTTGGGACAACTAAATTAAAATGTTGAATTAAATTCTTCAAGACTTAAAATGTTAATAGTCTCAGTAAAGAATCATGTACATTTGAATAGTTCAAGAAATAATATCTTAAATGTTAAGAGTTTTCAGGATTTGAAAGAAAAGGCGGTTAAATTGCATTCTATTAATATTAATGAAGTCCTGGTGTGGTGCTATAAAATAAGCAGTGGACTGCTAACTGCAAGGTCAGTGGTTCAAACCTACCAGCTGCTCCTTAGAAACACAAGTTCATTATGACTTGCAGCTGACTTGATGACACATAACAACAACAAACAATATTAATAAATCATTCCAGTCATACATCTACTTACAGTTCTGCATTCATCACACATGATTGTACTAGTCAGTTCACCACCAAAGATCCGGTCAACAAAGCTTGGTACTGACTTTTTCTTTTCGTAATCTACGAAGAAAAAGTATATCAACTAACTAGATAACTAATTTAAAACTTTACACCTACTTACCTACCTACCTTTAAATTTTTCTCCTTAAATATTTATTTTTAATTTTCTATCTCACAGACTTTTAAACTCTACCCATAATTGTAATTTTATTTTTTTGTTACAGTAGTCAGAAGCATATCTGCTGCCTTTGCGCATACTGCCATTCTGTAACACTGTCATTAATAAGATAACACAGTTCTTACCCAAGATCTAGTCAGTGGAAAATAGTGTAAGTCAGTGGAACATCCTTGTATCAACATCCACAAGTAAAGTGAGCAGATGAGATCAGGCTAATTGATATTCTAGCTTCTTTCTAGCTCTAGCATTCTCCATTTAGTACTCATGAAAAGTAGCTGGTAACGAACTTGGAAAGAATGCATGTAACTTGTTTTGTGAACTCTCAACTCAACTTTTTCTATTTTAAAAAAAAATTTAAGGAAAAATGTTTCAAGCGAAATCTTCCTTTTTAGTTTTCCCATTTCCCTGAGAAGTTTTACATAGCACAACAACAGCATAAAATGACATACATAATTTTACTACTTGGACACCAATCTTTTAATTATATGAAATGTATAAGGCTTATTCAAATGCAAAAACATATTTTTAGGTCAGATAACATAATGATTCTATTACTGGCCAGGCCCTAAAAGAGGCAAAGGAAGAAAGAGTGTCTATGCGTTGACTCTAATCTGTGCTAATACAGTAGTTACTAAACGTGTGTGGCCATATAAAATTAATTCAAATGAAACTAAAATTTATTTCCTCAGTTGTGCTTAAGTGCATTTCAACTGTTCAATAGGTAAAAGTGGCTATTGTACTAGATAGCATGGACACAAAAAAATTCCCATCAACACACAAAAAGTTCTACCAAACAAGGACCTAAATTTTTAAACATGTGATAATAAGAACTAAGAATAGCTGGAAGTACAAGGTGGCTCTGTGATTAATAAATCCGCCACTACCGTTTCATAAAGGAAAGTATAATTCTCTTAGTACTAATTATAATTGTAAGCTTTTGAAAATTGAAATTGAGATACCATCATCTTAGCTCTATATTTCTAAATTTCATTGTAATACAGGACAAAAAGACTACACCACAAGTTAAGTTTTCCTCTTCACCTTTGGAGGATTGACTTGATTAACAAATAAAGAGTGGTGATAAAGAGAAGCTTAGATAGATAGATAGATAGAGACAGATAGATAATGACAGATTTTAAATACATTGCCAATCATCACGTCCAAAGATACAATGGACTTCAACTATTATGTTTTAGTTCAAAAATTTAGACATTACCTTTTACTTTATTTTTTAGTTCTTCATCCAATCTTTCCATAGAATTATTACCAATTGCTTTAAAAATTCCTTTGCTCACTCTCTAAAATAATGAAAATTGATATAAATACTATTACAATTTACATTTTAGTTATTTTCCTTAGAAAATATGTAATCAAATCATGAAAATGATCAAGATTTGCTGAAAATAAAGTTTCAAAATCACAATTTAAAATTACTTCAAGCAGTTGAAAAGAACTGTGCTTACAAAACAGTCACTAACCACTAACCAGGTGACTGAGTTAATCTCAAATTGTTACTTAACCTATTCAAACCACAGGTTTTTAGAACATGCCCACCAAGTTTGGAAAGACCACTGAAATAGTTCCTGCTAAAAGAAGACTGGTTAAATGGGAGCTACAAAATGGACTTCTAAGCTCAAAGTCCAGCTCTGCCATCACTGAGGAGCCATGGGCCAGGTACCACACCTATCTACATCCTAGCTTCAAAATCTATGAAAACAAAGTAATCACACAGTTTTGCAAGATGGTTATGAGGATTGAGAAAGGTAATTCATATAAAATAAGTATACTGATTGAAATAAAATGAGAGCAAATTAAATGTTACTGTCACTATTTCTGGTACTATTATTAATTAATTATATTCTCATCCCAAATACATTATTTTGTTGTCAGTAATTAACAAAAATTTTAATTATACCAAACATTTACAAAAGGAAAATACTTTTCTAGATTCAAAACTGCTAAATTACACTCAGGAGGGTGTGTTGCAATTGAGAATTGTGTAGGGATAAACATTTCCCAATAATTGCAGCTCTTCTGGTAGAGACTAGTACAACAAAATCCTTAATGAACAATAATTATATAAATATCAAGTAACCTAATGGAGAATCATTTCTAATTCTCCTGATTCATTCTAATGATTAAAACATACTGGTTGAAGAGGTCAGTATAGAAAAAAATGCTAAAAAAAGTACAATGGCCCCAGTTTTCAGTGATTTAAGAACTGTCAAAACATCATATGACAAGCAAGTCCATGAAGATGGGCTCATAAAATACAATGATCAGAATATGCTAACTTGGTATTCTTCAGCTCTCATCCCATCCAATAAATAGCGCAAAAGTTCCTGGCTGTCTTGCTGCTGATAACCTTTAAACCGCACAGCTCTATGGGAAAGAAAAAAAAAGAAATTTTAAGTCTACTAAGTTATAAAGCTATGTTTACAAAATGTTAAGCTCATAGCACAAATCTCATAGTGCCTCTAGCTTCTCAAAATTTGTTTCCGCCAATAAAAATCTTGACAGATTTTACTTTCATTTAAAATATACTTTTTAGGTTTCTGGCATCTGCTTTTCTCACTGGCAACTATGGGGCAGAAGCACTACCTTGAGCATGCGACACACAAACTATACACCAGCTGCCCAAGCCACGCCCACTCACATCTCCTACGCTTAAGAACACTTTTGAAGACATATGTTCATACTGTTTCCAGTTACTAGTACTGGATAAACTCTTGAGCACACCTCAAACTCAAGTCTAAACTGACACCCAAAGTACAGAAACTTCTTAATCAAGAAGCAAAAGTTTATCTTAATCAAGAAGCAAAAGTTTATACACTTAGTTTAAAAGACGCAAAAATTGTGACTAAGTATAAAGACTCCAAAAGTGAATTGTTGATTACTTACAAAACATGCAACAGAACAGTTAGACATCAAGGTAAAAGTAGAAGCTTTCTGTCAACATTGAAGAGCAATCGTAGCACCCCTTCAATTAAACCCGCTCTGAAGACACCAAGAGAAAAACTCTTGAGTTCTGCAAAGTGAAACTTTGATATGTGTGGATCCAAAGGCATGAGTCCTCCACTGATCTTCTGAATACCTACATCTGAACAGTCAAGACCCACTTTCTCTTCCTCAAGGAATATAAGCAAAACAAAGAAACACTTCTCTCAACTAAAATTGTTGCTTTATTGTTGTTGTTATGTGCCTTGCGATTTAGACCAACTTTGCAGTCCTGCACATAAACCCACAGCGCCACATCAAGACACTTAGTCAGCAAGAATTCCAAAAAACCCCAAAGATGGACTTTAGAAATTTCTTGTCTTCTCTATAATTGATGTAATTTGAAAATAAGAAATGTCTAATGTAATTTCTGAAATTCAATATAATCAAAAAGCAATAAATATATTTTAAATCCAAGTGATATAAGCCATGCTATAATATATATACATCTTGTCGCTGTTAAATGCCATCGAGATGGTTCCAACTCATAGCGAGTATACATACAAACTCTGTATACGGTTTCCAGGGAGTGGTTGGTGAGTTTAAACCACCAACCTTGCAGTTAGCAATCCAACAGTTATCCTACAGTGCCACACCAGGACTCTAAAATATATACATACTAAATTGACTCAAATGCTGCTGTTTAAGCATCTAAGTGAGGCATTAAAAGCACAAACAAAGTGGATACTCACTTTTTACAGACCTGAGAAAAGAGCTCTTTAGGTGTCACAATTCCCTTTTTGGTCTCCTGCATCTCGTTAAGAAACTGGCTCATAGCCAAAGTAAGAGGTCCTGGAGGCTCAAGATTTATTTCTAAGGGTTCCTGAATATAGAAATAAAATTATTTCCTTCAGTCAAATTTTAGGATCATTTACTTTACTAAAATGCATTTAGTTAACATATACTGCCAATAATGCTCATTGAACTGCTTCATTTAAGTGTAAAATGTGCCCTATAAGAGAATGAAATTTCCTGGTCCTACGGAAAGCCAAACTTCTTACAATCAAGATGATTCCAAGCCATAACAAATCAACAGAATAGAGTAAAATTGCCCCATAGGGTTTCCAAGGCTATATAATCTTTACAAAGTAGATTGTCACATCTTTCTGCAGCAGAACTGCTGGTGAGTTCAAACCACCAATCTTCTGGTTAGTAGCTGAGTGCTTAACCACTGCATCACCAGAGCTCTTCTATTGGCACAGTTTGTACTTGATTACAAATGTAAAATGGAGTCCTGGTGTGGTGCTATAGGATAAACACTGGACAGCAAAATGGGTTTGAACTGCAAGATCAGCAGGTCAAAATCACCAGCCACTCCTCAAAAACCCTATACAGGGTGACTATGAGTCAGAACAGACTCAACAGCACTTAACAACAACAAGACTAATGTAAAGGTTGATGGTACAAACCATTCCAGCAGCACTGCTAAAGAAAGTCCGGCAATCTGATCCCATAGCAATTACAGCCAAGAAAACTCTATGGAGCAATTCTACTCTGTAACATGTGGGGTTACCAGGAGCTGCAATAGACTCAATGGCAATGGATTTGAGGATTTTGTTTGAAGTTTCAGACTATCCAGAACTTACTGTAAGACGAGAAGAGATTAAGCAAAACGTTAATTCAACTGACTAAGGTAAACCTTTTCGGACTATATAGAAGTTACCTTAAAAGATATAAAACTAACAATGCAAGCCTAGGATTTCAAAAATATCACCATGTTATCAAATAGGAAGCCAAACACTAGGACACAGTAGAACATGACACACACATACAAAACTATATGTAAAAGCTCCTTATTAATTTCTATGAGCCTAAAAACATTGAACTTGGTAGACCAAAACAAAACAAAAGCAAAAAAAAAAAAAAGGTGGATATGAGTGTCCATTCTTTCAAATAATTTAGAATGTGGACATTCAAAGGGAGAAAGTTACTGAAAGAAAGACAACATTTTAAAGTACATACTGTTAGTGCCAAATCAGGTGGCTCAATTTTCACAATTGTTCCAGACATTTTTACTTCTTTTAGTAGTTCTCTAAGTACTGGAGTTTGTGACAAATTCTGGAATAAAGATGGAAAGGAAGAAGAAAATTATTTTAAAGAATCATTTATCTATTTATCCTGAAGTGTTGCTTCTATAAAAACAGAAAATCACTGTCAATACGACAACCTTTATTACATCTATACTCGGTAAAGGAAAAGCATGTTCTTCTCTCCATCCTATATGGCTGACTGATATTTCAGTTCTGAGCTTAATCATCACTTCAGATGGGCATTCTTCTACCACCCAATCTGAAGCAGCTATGCCCCCTAATCACAATGACTCTCTCACCACCACTTAACACCCTTTGTAACTACAGATCTGTTTCTGTTTCTGTTCTAGGTAATCCTTGCTTCCTCACCCAAATGGAAGCTCCTTAATGGCAGGGATCATGTTTGTTTTGAACCCCACTGATCCTAGTACTCAGCACAATCTTACTGTCATGCAAAATGAAACACTTGAGTTTTCTTTGAAACCAAAAATACTTGAGGGGAAAAAAAATACAAACAACTCCATATGTAAGTAACAGAACCTCTAACATGAAGAAAAAGCTAGAATATTTCTTTAAAAAGAAAAAAATATTAATACTGGCACCTGCATAACTGCATTGAAGAAGCACGTATTTCCCAAATTACTGAGTCCTTTCACAGTTATTTGGGAAATAGAATTCATGGAGCCATTCTCTTTAGCCATGTTTTCCTTTTTCTCTTTCTCTTGTTCATTTTTACTCTCTTTTTCTAATTTTTTATTTTCAAGTTCAATGCTCCCATTATCTTTGGCTGCATTAATAAAAAAAAAAAAAAGAGAGAGAGAGAGAAATGGGGGGGGGCAGAGAATTAGTAAAATACATAACAGAGTTATACCAAATGCAAAGTTATCAATGGGGCAGAGTACTAGAATTTTTTTAATGTTACCTAGTTTCATTATTTGCCTCTGGTTTTTAAATGCTGACAAATTAATACAAGTAAAATACTGTACAGAAAGAGAGAAACAAATAAATCCAAAATACTTAAAACTGAAATGAGAATTATTTGGATAAATGAAATCAAACAGTATATTGTTGTTAAGTGCTGTCAAGTCGATTCCGACTCATAGAGACCCTATACAGGGTTTGCAAGGCTTTTAAAGTTTTAACGGGAACAGAATGTCACATCTTTGTCCCGCAGAGCGACTGGTGGGCTCCAAGTCCAGATCTTGTTCACAGTCCAGTGCTTATCCTATGAAGCCACTTTTGTATAAATCTTCCCTTTTCTACTGCATAAAAAATCTTTGCAAATGAGTGTATTTTATACCTTGAGAAATTAAAAAATAAAACAACCAAATAAAGCACATGGACATAAAATAAATTTTCTAATAAATTCTGCAGGTAAAAAACTCACCTAAAGTACAGAATAAACCATCTGGCTCTGCCAGAGATACTTCTTTGATCATGTTATTCCTTTTTCCCAGTGAAAATCTAAACTAACTTAAAACGGACATAGTAAGCCAACCCAATTAATTCAATTACTTATGAAAGGAATTTTGTAAATACCTGACAGATATCAGCCTACTAGAAGTACTTTATTTTATATCATTCCAACAAATGAAGTGAAATCTTGCTATTACAAAATGTAATACAATAAAGTCAGTGTAAGTTCTACCTTAAGCCCCATCTAGGTTAGGGGGACAGAACGTTACTTTGTACAATTCTTCACCACAACTAACTAGTTTATTTCTCAGATCCCTTCCAAATCTAGCATCTTATAATTGTATATATTTCTACTGTTTCATGTTCTTAACCAAAAATAGTTTCATATTTTCAAGACAACTATAACTAATTTTATCCAGCTATTTGTAAATGCCATAGTAGTATAAATAAATCTAAATAGCAGCACATATAGTCAGCATCACCGAATGCACTAAGAAACAGATGATTTTACCTGATTTTGGAGTTGTAATACCAGCTTGTTTTCTAACATAATCAACCACCTGACCCAATCGATTGGAAGTACAATACTGCACCTCTTCATCACACATGTAACACCTATTTCCCAAAAAATCAGAGTGAAAAAAGTGACAAACAATCAAAAGAAGACACCAAAATTACAATTTCTCAATTACAAAATGTATCGTGATGGTGGTGTGAGGTGCCGTCAAGTTGGTATCAACTCATATCAACCACAAAAGAAGGAAATGTTGCTCAGTCCTGCACCATCCTCACAATTGTTGTTTATGTCCACTTGTGTAGTCACTGTCTCTCGCCATTGCATTGTGGGAAATTTCTCTTTTTTGCTGACTGTCCCCTCTTGACAACATGCCCAAAGTACATCAGATGAAGTCTCACCATCCTTACTTCCAAGGATTATTCCAGCTGTACTTCTTTCAAGACAGATCTGTTTGTTCTTCTGGCAAGCCATTTTACTTTCGGTAGTCTTTGCTAACACCATAATTCAATGCATCAACTTTTCTCCTGTCTTCCTTATTCATTGCTAAGCTTTCATAGACATATGAGGCAATTGAAAAGATGGCTTAGGCCAGGTATACCTTAGTCCTCAAACTGACCTCCTTGCTCTTGAACACTTTAAGTAGGTCTTTTGCACCATATATGCCCAATGCAGTGTTTGATTTTGTGAATGCTGCTTAGATGAGCACTGACTGTGCATTCAAGCAAAATGAAGTCCTTGACAACTACAATCTTTTCTCCATTTATCATGATTTTGTTTATTGGTGCAAATGTGAGTTTAGTTGTTTTGTTTTGTTTTAACACTGAGCTATAAGCCATACTGAACACTGTTTACTTAGATTTTCATTAGGAAATGTCTCAAATCCTCTTCACTTTTAGTAAGCAAGTTGTGTCACCTGCATATCACAGGCTGATGATGAGCCTTCCTCTAATCCTAATGCCATGTTCTTCTTCATGTAATCTAGCTTCTTGGTTTTGATTTACTCAGCACACAGACTGAATAACTATGATGAAAGGACACAACTCAGACACACATCTTTTCTAATTTTAAACAATTCAGTATCCCCATGTTCTAGGTGAGTGACTGCTCTTGGTCTATGTACAAGTTCCAAATGAGCACAATTAAGAGTTCTGGAATACCCATTCTTCACAGTATTACCCATAGTTTAGGATATGCCTTTGCATTGTCATTAAACCCCAAGGAAACATCTTTCTGGTAGTCTCTGCTTTCAGCCAAGATTTTTCTGACATTAGCAATGATATCCCTCATTCCATGTCCTCTTGTGAATCCAGCTTGAAATCTGGCAGCTCCCTGTCAATGTACTGCTGCAACAATTTGTGAATTATCATCAGAAAAATTTTAATTATGTGTGGTATCAATGATACTGTTCAATAATTTCTATATTCTACTGGGTCATATTTTTTTTAATGGGCATAAATATGGATGTCTTCCAGTAGTTGGCCAGTAAGCTAAACATTTTAAAACACATTTACATAATTCAAAATACTAACAAATTTTACAACTGACAATGAACGCTGCTATGAAAATACATGGGTCTGAAAGATATGAACATTTATTTTAATATCAAAATAGAAAATGTAAAACATCAGCCCAAAATTTATTTACATGCAAGCTCATTACCTAGATAAGTTATTATAATCTCAGTTTGTCTAACATTTGTTCTTGGTATACCAGTTTTAAAACTAAAAACAGGCCACAAAATCCTTTATAATAATACCACAACAAAGAATAAAGGGATAAAGATTCCTTAAGCCTTCTACATGATATAATTTTTCTGTTTGTCTAATACTACACAAATGTTTCATATAGCATTCCATTCTCCACCCTTCTAGAAGTATTTAAATAAATAAAATCTTTAAAATTTTTTCTTTCCTAAACATTTCAAATCTCTTCATTCTCTAATATTCCAAGATATTTCTAGTCAATGTATTCAAAGTTTGAAACTCACCATACACTCCAGTTGTCCAAATTAAGAACAAGGCAGTGAGGTTCAGATCGTGGTATCTTATAGTGCTTCAAGGCATGCTGCTCCTGAGAATTTCTGCCACAGCCCTAGAGAAATCACAACCATACACCTCAAAGTCACAGAAATTCATGGAATGAAGAATTCATAATCTTTAATGAACAAGGAAGTGGCTGAAGTAATATAGCCAATCATAAGAATTTGAAAATAAAACATTAACATAAAATTTTTGACATAAAACATTATCAGAAGTTTGGACTTTGACTAGACCTTGAATATTTATGTGCAACTGAAAACAGTCCTGGTGTGGCGCTGTGGTCTAATGCATCAGACTGCAAAGTCATTTGAACTGCAAGGTCGGTGGTTGAAGCTCACCAGCTGCTCCTTGGAAATACTATAAAGGGTTGCTATGGGTCGGAATTGACTCAACAGCACTTAACAACAACATAAGAACATCATTTAAAAAGGTATTTAGAAAGCCATGCACTGGAAGTACCCTTCCTCTCCAATTTCTCCTTTCCAGCAACTCATTAGGTCATGTTTGGACTATTTAAAGGCCTCAAAATTTCTCTTTGACTTCAGCCTCTTACATACACCTATATTTTTTAGCTTAATTTTCCTTAAAATTTAAAAACCACTGCTTATGCACTCAATCAAAAAATTATCACTCTTAATCTTTTAATGAACAAGCCCAATTCCCTGCGATCTCAACTTGACCAAACATTAAGTACCATATTCTCTGACTCATATTTCATATGCCATCTAAAAGCACACCCAGCACTTTCGCAACTATACAACTGCATCCATATTATTCCATTTGTCCTGGAATCCTTTACTGTTACTACAACCTGGTCATATCCCACCCATTCTTCCAGATTCTGCTCAAAAACAATTTTCCAAAAATTTTATACCCATCCTCGCAAAAAGGAAAATATTTTCTCCTTTCTATAAATAAACTACAAAACTTAGTGGAAATTCCTACTGGTATTCCTTATTTTCTTCTTTGTACTGAAGGATCATAAGTCTTCATGACACAAATATTATTCTATTTTATTAACTTTATTTTCCCCAAAAGCCCTAGCACTAGAGATAAGGTGCCATCAAGTCAGTAATGACTCATAGGGACCCTATGCACAACAGAATTAAACAGTGCCTGGTCCTGCGCCAACCTCACAACTGTAGCTACATTTGAACCCATCGCTACTGCCACTGTGCTAATCCATCTCCTGGAGGGTCTTCCTCTTCTATGCTGCCCCTCCATGTTATCAAACATGATAACCTTCTCCAGGCACATGGTCTCCTGACAATGTGTCCCAAGTATGAATGAAGAAGTCTGGCCACCCTTGCTTCCAAGAAGCATTATGGCTGTACTTCTTCCAATGCATCTTGCTTTATTCTTTTGACAGTCCATGGTAATTTCACTATTTTCCTCCAAAGCCGCAGCTCAACTAATAATTATTCTGCAGTCTTCCTTATTCAATGTCCAGCTTCCACATGCATGAGGTTACTGAAAATACCATGGCAGGGTCAGGCCTCAAAATGACATCACTGCTCTTCAACATTTTAAAGAGGGTCATGTGCAACAGATCTGCCTAATGCAATATATCAATGGATTTCTTTACTGCCTCTTGGTCGATATAGAGGTTTCTCATGAGCACGATTAAAGTGTTCTGGAATTTCATTCTCAGCAATGTTGTCCATAGCTTGCCATGATCCACACAACTGAAAACCTTTGCATACTCAATAAAGCACAGGTAAACAACTTTCTGGTATTCTCTGCTTTCAGCCAAGATCTATCTGATGTCAGCAGTGATATCTGTCTTTCCACATCCTTTTCTGAATCTGGCTTGAACCTCTGGGAGTTCTCTGTCAATGTATGGTTGCAGTCATCTTTGAATTACCTTTTGCAAAATTTTGCTTGCATGGATATTAATGATATTGTCCGATGATTTCCACCTTTTGTTGGGTCACCTTTCGTTGTAAAGGACATAAATATGGATCACTTCCAGTCACTTGGCCAGGTAGTTGTCTTCCAAATTTCTTGGCATAGATGAGTGAGTGCCTCCAATGTTGTCATCAGTTTGTTGAAAGATTTCAATTTGTATTCCATGAATTGCCTTGTTCTTTACGAATGCCTTCAATGTGCCTTGGACTTCTTCCTTCAGTATCATTAGCTCTTGATCATATGCTACATCTTAAAATAGTTGAACAGGGAACATTTCTTTTTGGTACAGTGACTCTGCATATTCCTTCCATCTTTTTTTGATGCTTTCTGCATGCATCATTCAATATTTTGCCCATAGAATCCTTCAATACTGCAAATGAGGCTTGAATTTTTTTCTTCAGTTTCCTCAGCTTGAGGAATGTTGAGCATGTTATTCCCTTTTGGTTTTCTAACTCCAGGTCTTTACACATCTCGTTATATTTTACTTTGTCTTCTAGAGCTGCGTTTTGAAATTTTCTATTCAGCATTTTTTCCTCCTGATTTCTTTCATATTCTTTAGCATCTCTACACTGGAGAGCAACTTTCTGAGTCTCTTCTGGACTCCATTTTGGTCTTTTCCTTTTTTTTTTGTCTTCTTAATGACCTTTTGCTTTCTTCCTGTATGATGTTCCTGATGTCATCCCACAACTCTTCTGGTCTTCAATGTCTAATGATTCAAATCTTTTATTGAGATGATCTCTAAATTCAGGTGGGATATGTTCAAGGTCATATTTGGCTCTTGTTTCAATTTTCTTCAGCTTCAGCCTGAACCTGTATATGAGCACTTGACTGTCTGTTCCATGGTCTGCCCCGATCCTGTTTTGGCTGATGGTATGGAACTTTTCCACCGTCTTTCCACAAATGCAGTCTATTTGATTCCTGTGTATTCCATCTGGTGACATCCATGTGTAGAGTCGTCTTTTATGTTGTTTAAAAAATGTATTTGCAATGAGCAAGTCATTGGTGTTACAAATTTCTATCGTGCGATCTCTAGCATCGTTTCTAACACCAAGGGCATATTTCTAGCTACCGATCCTTCCTCTTTCTATCCAGCCTTTACATTCCAATCCCAGCAATTATCAATACATCTTTTTACTGCATGTATGATCAATTTCAGACTGATGAAGTTGGTAGAATTCTTTAATTTCATCATTACTGGCTTTAGTGGTTGGTATGTAAATTTGAATAGTGATATTAACTGGTCTTCCTTGTAGGCATATGATATTATCCTATCATAGACAGCATTGTACTTCAGGGCAGATCTTGGTATGTTCTTTTTTTTAACTGGTTATTAAATTTAATTTTGTTTAAATACATACTCTTTTCCCATCCTCACCCACTCTGGGAAGGAACAGGAGGTTCCCCCCATTTTGGGGATTCCATGTATAAAGCCTGAGATGGTGAGGATTTTTTCAACGACTAAATATTCTAAAATAGTCTCTCTTCTTCTTCCTAGGCTGTCTCCATCTGGAAGCTGAGCTAAAACCTGTCCAACATGGGTGATCCTGCTGGTATTTAAAATACCTGTACTATAGCTTCCAGAATCATAGCAACACTCAATCCACCAAAGTACAACAAATTCACAAACAAGTGGTGGAGTTATGGAGTGGCAGAGATATGGTAAGCATTAACTGAACAAGTAAATAAAAGTTTTTGCCCTAAAGGATGTAGACTTAATTCATTAAAAAAAAAAAAAATCCTGAGATTTTCTGCTTGCAGCTAATTAGATCATTCCTATTTTTTTTCCCCCCAGTATTTATCTAAACCAGGTCGCCATCCTCTTGGGCCACACTACAGTAATTATTTCCACTGAAGGTAAAAATACACTTCAACTGTAAAAAAATAATTGGTTTCCAGCTTCATCTTTCTTACAGCTCTGCCTAATACCCCAGTTTGCTAACATATAAATTTCATTCGCAACTACTAAAACACCCTGACATTTAGTACCATGGAAGTTGGCATAGTGTGTGTACTGCCCAGATCTCCCCTTGAAGTACTAATTCCCCTAGCTGCCAAGAGTGATGCTTGCTGAAAACTCACAACCCCATTAATCCTCAAGAATTACCTTCAGTTAAAGGGACAGACCACATCCAATAGCTAATCAATGAGTGGGTACAAAGACCTGGCCCCTTGTTTAGTTGAAGACATCTCTGAAAGGCCAGAGTTCACTGTGGAATTGGCTGATAACATATAGCAACTGGTCTTAGCTCAATTTGTCCTTCTATATAGCCTTGCCTTGCCTACTCTTTACTTGGTCTGGTACCTGAGAATATTCCCTAATAAACTATACAGATCTTCATCACATAAGCTTTTCCCCACAGATACTATGCCAGCTGACATCCAAGTTACCCATGTTGTAATTTACAAGCAACACCTTGTAAAACAAATTAAAAGCAAACTCATTGCATCAAGTCAATTTCCACTCATGTGTAACCCCATGTGTTACAGAGCACAACTGCTCCAAAGGATTTCCTTGACTATAGAGTCAAGCACACTGTCTGCAACATCTATTGTTGTCTTTAGATACCGAGTCACTCCCATTTCACAGTAACCCTACGAACAACAGAACAAAACACTGCCCTATCCTACACTATGGCCACAACTGCTGCTGCTTTTAAGCCCATGGACGCTGTCACTGTGTCAATCCATCAAGTTGGGATCTTCTCATTTTCAGTGACCCTCTGCTTTTCCAAGTTTAATGTCATTCTCCAGGGATGAGTACCTCCTGTTAATATGTCAAAAGTATGAGAGATAAAGTCTCACCATCCTGGCTTCCAGGGAGCATTCTGTGTATACTTCTCCCAAGACAGATCTATTTGTTCTGGAATTCCATGGTACTTTCAATATTTTTCTCCAGTACCACAATTCAAATTCACCGGTTCTTCTGTAGTCTCCCTTACTCACCATCATCCAACTTTCATATGCATGTTGTTGTTATGTGCAGTGGAGTCGGTTCCGACTCATAGTGACCCTGTACAGGGTTTCCGAGGTTGTAAATCTTTACAGGAGCAGAAAGCCTCAACTTTCTCCCACGGAACAGCTGGTAGTTTTGAACTGCTGACCTTGCGGTTCGCAGCCTGATTTATAACCACTACACTGCATGAGGCAATTGAAAATACCATGGCATGAGTCCTCAAACTGACATCTTTGCTCTTCAATACTTTAAAGAGATCTTTTGCATAACATCTATCTAATGTAATACATCTTTTGATTGTTTGACTGCTGCTTGCATGAGTATTGATGAATGATCCACGCAAACTGAAGTTTCTGACAACTTCAATCGTTTCTCCAATTACCAAGATTTTATTTATTGGTCTAGTTTGGGAGGATTTTTGTTTTCTTTATATTGATGTATAATCCATACTGAAGGCTGTGATCTTTGATATTCATCAGTATGTATTTTAAGTACTTTCCAGTTCCCGCAAGCAAAGTTGGATCATCTGCAAAGTACATGCTGTTAATGAGTATTCCACCAATCCTGATGACATTTTCCTCATCATATAAACCAGCTTCTCAGATTACTTTCTCAGCATACAAACTGAATAAGTACAGTAAAAGAATACAACCCTGGCACACACCTTTCTAGAATTAAAACCATGATTTTATGATTCAAAGTAACCAAATACCAGTCCATTTGAGCTCACTAATGATACTGATTTTCATTAGTTCCAATTCATTTTGACAACTTCCAATTTTCCTAGATTCATACTTAATATATTCTAATTATTAATATATGTTTACAGTTGATTTTTCCTCATTTGAGTTGTGCCACATCAGTAAATGAAAGTTCTGAGTAGCTTTACTCCATTTGGGTCATTTTGGTCAACTCTACTTTGCGGCCGCAACTCTTCCCCAGTCCTATTTTGAGTGCCTTCCAACCTGCAGGGTCATCTTCTGGCAGTATATCTTGCAATTTTTTGTTGATATTCATAATGTTTTCAACTTCTGGTATTATATCTGACAATGTTTCGTTGCTATTCTCAAGGTTTTCAGTGGGTAAAATTTCACAAATAGTCTGCCTCTCCTTCTTCCTAGTCTGTCTTTGTTTGGAAGCTCCACTAAGACCTGTCCATAATCAATGACTCTGCTGGTATTTTAAAACAAGTGACATAGCTTCCAACATCACAGCATCACGCAAGCCACCACAGCAAAACAAACTGATAGACAAGTGATGGCCTGCACCACCTAAAGACTTAAAATAAGTTAAAACAGTTTCTAAAATCCCTTAATAGTCAAAATTTAAGCATACCTGATGGCCACATTTAAGACATAGCCAAATGGACCAGTTTTCTTCTGTTTCCTCTTCAGATTTATCTTTCACTTTATTGTCTGTCTTACAATCTTGGCAAATATTCCATTCCACGTTCACTAAAGCCCTTTTCAAAGTACCTTGTTCTAATCCTTTTCTTATGTGTCTGCACACAGGTTCTACTAAAACACATAACAAAGAAGAAGTACACATAAGATCAAAAATGATTCAGAACTTTCATCTAAGAAATTTACTCTATAAGCAGTTCATCTGAAAACTTTTTGACATTTGATATTATGAATTATGTAAAAATAAAATATAAATTTGAAATGTTACTTTTTAAAAGTCCTACTTATAACTCTCCATAAATATCACTTCTATTTTGTAGTTATTTCTTTTTAAAAAATGGCTTTTTATCTTAAAAATGTCTGTAGAGAGAGCACTTCATAGGCTTACTGCAGGACAGGAATTATGTAGATGCCACATAACCTAAAAGCAGCTCTTCTCTTTGAGTAACGGAGTCAGGCAGGAGACACAGATAAATAAATAAATGTGTAAAACTCTGCAAAACATGCTGTAGCAGCATAGGAAAAATTGCCAAAATTTCACAGGGAGGTAATATCTGGACAGTCTTGGATAATATTATCAGCAATAAATATTTCTGATAAGACTCCTGATGTGGCACTGTAGGACAAGCACTTGACTGCTAACTACAAGGTCAGCAGTCAAACCTACCAGCTGCTCCTCAGAAAGCCTATTCAGGGGCACTATTAGTCAGAGCGACTTGATAGTACATAACAAAAATGGTCCTGGCATTGTGCTAAATGGTTGCATATATCATTTCATTTCACCCTCATAACCAGCCTACAAGATTGAGAAAATTAAGATTTACATCCAAGGACACTTAAAACTGAGCAGCTGTGGCAGAATTTGGACTCGGGACTTTCTGATTCCAAAGCTCACACTCTAAACCACAACCTCAGGGAGTGATGGACAGTCTAAAGAGCAACATGTCATGAACTCACGGATGGAGAAATATATGCTGTCTCATCAAAAAGGCTAGTAATAAGAGGCGGTTGCTGTTGCTGTTAACTGCCATTGAGTTGTTATCAATTCACAAAAAAATTTACAGACTTTGAGGCTGTAAATCCCTGCGGGAGCAGAAAACCTTATCTTTCTCCCTTAAGAGTGGCTGGTGAGCTCAATCCACCAACCTTGAGGTTCGCAATCCAGTGCTTATCCTACAGAGCCACCAGGCTCCAAATAAGAGGTGTTAAAGCCACACAATGTGTAAAAATGTAACATCTGGACCTGAGGCTGAAAACCATATTGGGGTCAGAATAAATGAGGGGCTTTGCAAAGTACTGTGAAAGGCCTGAGTTTTTTCAAAGGTCCTTAAGGTTTAAAAGTAGTTAACAGACAAGATAAGTTTCATTCCAGTAAGTTCACAATACATCAAAAGAAGAAATATAAATGCAAATGAGGTCATGTGAAAAATACTAAACTTCAGCATGAGCCAATATATAAACTTAAAACAGGTGATTCCTTTATCAAATAACAAATCAGGAAACATTTTTACAAATTATATAACTAGTGCTGGTGAAATATTTTATTTGATGTAGCTGTTGCTGTTTTTTTTTTTTTGTTAGCTTCTGTCAAGTTGTCCCTGACACACGGTGATGCCATGCACAACAGATGGAACCAATGTGATCCACAGGGTCTTTACTGGCTTATTTTCAGAGGTAGATTACCAGGCCACTCTTCCTAGTATATTTTAGTCTAGAAGCTCTGCTGAAACCTGGTTAGCATCACAGCAATATATAAGCCTCCACCGGCAGATCTAAGACTTTAAATTAGGAAAACATTTTTGGAGAGTAATTTCGCAACAGGATCAAAAATCCTTCAAAATATTTATATCCTTTGATCCAGCAATTCTATTTCTAGAATTTTTACTAAAAACATAAGTGGACAGAGATTTAACTATAAAAATGTTTATTGGTACTCTATTCCTAAGACTAAAAAATTAAAAGACTACCTAAGTAGCTCTGGTAGCATAGTGGTTATGAATAGGGCTGTGAACCGGAAGGTCAGCAGTTTGAAACTACCAGTTAGTTGTTCTGCAGGAGAAAGATGAGGCTTTCTGCTCCCATAAAGATTTACAGACTTGGAAACCCTGAACACGGTCGCTATGAGTTGGAACCGAATCCATGGCACATAACCACCACCACCTAAATTTATAGCAGTAGGGAATTAGCTACATATACTATGAAATACGCATCATGGTCCTTTACATCAATTGAATACAATGCCAATAAAAATATTATGTTTTTGTTGTTGTCAAGTGCCGTCGAGTTGATTCCAACCCACAGTGACCCTGTATAGGGTTTCCAAGGAGCAGCTGATGAGCTTGAACCAGTGACCCTGCAGCTCAAACGGCTTTGCAGTCTAGTGCATTAACCCATAACACCACACCAGGACTATTAAATAACATGTAGGTATAAAAAGCTAAAACACATATTACATGATAACAATGCACACTGATTATGTGTTTATATATTTTTAAATGCTTATCCATTTGGGGATATAAACATAACTTTAAAGAGTCAATAAGTGAAATGTACCTAAAGATTCAGAAGAATCATCGATTGGAACAGTTTTTCCCTTTGTCCGTTTCTTTCCCATGTTGGTACTTTATGGATGACTTAATGACACAAAATACAATCTAGAAAACAAGATAAAGTTAGCTTGACCAAAAATGGTGTTTTCTATTTCTCTAGGAGACAGTAATATAACTAAACTATACATAAGATCATAGCTTGTACAGCATACTGTATAATTTACAAAGCTCACTCATTCAGGTATATTACTTAATTTTCAAAAGAACTCTGTGCAACAGAGAACAAACAAGATGGCGGATCGGGTGGACGTATAGCAGAGAGCTCCAACAACAACACAGAATACCCGACCAAGCAGGTTCAGGGGATGGTCCCAGAACTCTGAACCACATATAAAGGAATACTTAGAAGGTTGGAAGGCTCACAGCTGGGGGAATTTGTGGCAGAAGCAAGAAATCT